ACACTCTTAAATTCTTTTCCCCCAAACACTTTTTAACCCTTTTCCCTAAACACTCTTAACCCTTTTCTAAACACTTAACCCTTTCTCATTAACTTAACCCTTTCTAAACACTTAACCCTTTCCCCTAATAACTTAACCCTTTCCCTAATAACTTCTTTAATTCCTTCCCTAAACACTTAACCTCTCAAACACTCTTAACCCTTCCCTAAAACACTTAACTCCTTCCCTAAACACTTAACCTTTCTAAACACTTAACCCTTTCTAATAACTTAACCCTTCCTAAACACTTTTAACTCCTTTTCCTCAAAACACTCTAAACCCTTTCCCTAAACACTCTTAACCCTTTTCTAAACACTTCTTAACCCTTTTCTCAAACATCACTTTTAACCCTTTTCCCTAAACACTTCTTAACCTTTTCTCTAAACACTTAACCCTTTCCCTAAAACACTCTTAACCCTTTCCTTAAAACACTTAACCCTTCTCTAAACACTCTTAACTCCTTTTCTAATAACTTAACCCTTTTCTAAACACTTCTTAACCCCCTAATAACTCTTAACCTTTCTAAACACTCTTAACTCCTTTTCCTTTAAACACTCTTAACTCCTTTCCCCTAAACACTTTAACCCTAAAACACTTTAACCCTTTTCCCTAAAACAATCTTAACCCTTTCCCCTAATAACTCTTAACCCTTTCCCCTAATAACTCTTAACCCTTTCCCTTAAACACTCTTAACCCTTTCCCCTAATAACTCTTAACCCTTTCCCCTAAACACTCTTAACCCTTTCCCCTAAACACTCTTAACCCTTTCCCTTAAACACTCTTAACCCTTTCCCCTAATAACTCTTAACCCTTTCCCCTAACCACTCTTAACCCTTTCCCCTAAACACTCTTAACCCTTTCCCCTAAGATAATTTAATATAGCTCAAGGGAACATCAAAGAGCCAATGGGTTAATAACTCTTAAATGGCTCAAATTAACTCTTTATCACCTCATTAACTAATTATATATAAACTGAGTCTAATTAGCTGTCGACAAGTAATTTATTAATAATTATGTGTAATATAGCTGTTAAGTTTGTCTGTAATCTACTGTTAAAATGAGAGAGAGAGAGAGAGAGAGAGAGAGAGAGAGAGAGAGAGAGAGAGAGTATGTATGTGCATGTGTATGTATGTGTGTGTATGTATGATGTGTATGTATGATGTGTATGTATGTGTAGGTATGTGCGTGTGTATATACCTTAACCACACGGGCGAAATTACTCTGTACACGAGAGTAACTTTGCCATCCACTTACACAATACACATTTCGACTCAAGGATCCCCTGGTAGGTCTTAACAACACACCTAACAGTAGTTATTATCACCAAACAATGTCAACTACTGGGGATGTATTGTAATGGGTCTAACTGATGGTGACGATAATGACAACTTCGACCGTGAGAATAACTGGGTGGGTGTGTGTGTGTGTGTGTGTGTGTGTGTGTGTGTGTGTGTGTTCTTCCTCTCTGTTTTTTTCGTTTGTGTGTGTGAGTACAGTACTTCTTCCTGCTGTCTGTGTGAGTGTGAGAGTGTGTGTGTGTGTGTGTGTGTGTTCCCTATGTGCTTTTCTGTGTGTTTTTTCTCTGTGTACGTGTGTGTTTCCCGTATGTATATGTGTGTTTTTCTATGTATGTATGTATGTATGTATGTATGTATGTATGTATGTATGTATGTATGTATGTTTACATCTAATCACCTACACCTCACACTTGACCACCTCCTCCTCCAAACACTAAACATTGAAACAACATCAAGTTGTGGAGCAATGAGGCAAACCAACATTTCAGAAACATTTTTTGTAAACACTGACATTTTGTACTGACATTTGCAAACATTGATATTTGTATTGACATTTGCAAACATTTTGCAACATTGGCACCTGGCTAAACACTCTGGCATTTGTAAACACTTTTGTAAATACATTTGTAAACACTGGCATTTGCAAACACTGGTATTTGTAAATACACATTTTACAAACACTGGCATTTGTAAACACTGGCATTTGTAAACACTGGCATTTGTAAACACTGGCTAAACACTGGCAAACACTGGCATTTGTAAACATTTGAAACACTCGGCATTTGTAAACACTGGCTTTTGTAAACATTGCCATTTGTAACACTGGCATTTGTAAATACTGCATTTGTAAACACTGGCATTTGTAAACACATTTGTAAACACCGGCATTTGTAAACACTGGCATTTGTAAACACTGGCATTTGTAAACACTCGGGCATTTGTAAATGACTGGCATTTGTAAACACTCGCATTTGTAAACATTGACATTTGTAAACACTGGCATTTGTAAACACTGGCATTTGTAAACACCATTTGTAAACATCGGCGTAAACACTTTGTAAACACTGGCATTTGTAAACATTGACATTTGGCATTTGTAAACACTGGCATTTGTAAACATTGGCATTTGCACTGGCATTTGTAAACACTGGCATTTGTAAAACACTTGGCATTTGTGAACACTGGCATTTACTGCAAGAATATAATGGCATTCTTTAACTCCAACCTAACCAGTGTCTGAGCCTGAAGGAAAACGTAATAATTCGCTTTAAAATGAAACTGTTATATATATTTTATTTACTTTCATTATCACCGTCACTATCACCGTCACTATCACCCGTCACTCACTGTCGTCACCATTACTTTCCATGTCACCACCACCACTATCACTCTCGTCGTCACCATCATCGCTCTCATCACCATAAACAACCACCACTACCACCATCATCACTGTAAATCCCGTAAACCATCAACCTTCACCACCACTATTTTAATCATCAGTCATCACCATCATCTTAAACACACACACACACACACACACACACACACACACACACACACACACACACACACCTGCAGTTATTGCTGACACACATTATTTTATTACCACCAGGTGTTTCCTTATGACGAGGCACAGTAAGGCAGGTGGAGGATAATATTAGTAGTAACCTCTATATAACGGATTATGAAAGGAAAGTCCGTTATATCGAGGGTCCGTTAAATAGGAATCCCCATCTAACGGATTGTATGAAGAGAGAAGTCCGTTATAGGGAGGTTTCATTACACCTTCACTTTAAACAGTGACGTCATGAAACAGCCAGCTATTGGTGGGGCGGTGTGGGGGCGGTGGGGTGGAGGAGGCGTGGGGGGCGGTGGGGGGGTGGTATGTAATTTGGCGTACGCATGTTGCAATATGATCAGAGGACTTTTTTCGGAGGAGGGGAGGGGTGAGGGAGGAGAGAGGAGAGGAAATGAGAGAGAGGGGAGGAGTTAAATATATAGATATACCTGTAGATAGATAGACAGACAAAAAATCTCTTCTCTCCTCCTCCTCCAGCAAAGACCAAATCGAGTCTCCGTAATTGAGGCCATTTTACATTACCATCGTCCCTAAAGGGTCAACGAACCATCGTTCTCAAGGGTTAAACTTGCTGTCAAAGGGTCAACAACCATCTTAAAGGGTCAACAAACCATCGTCATCAAAGGGTCATCAAAGGGTCAACAAACCATCGTTCTCAAAGGGTCAAACAAACCACAAGGTCATCATCGTCCCCTGTAAGGTAAACCATCATCCCTAAAGGTCAATGTCCATCAAAGGGTCAACAAACCATCGTTCTCAAAGGGTCAACAAACCATCGTTCTCAAAGGGTCAACAAACCATCGTCATCAAAGGGTCAACAAACCATCGTTCTCAAAGGGTCAACAAACCATCGTTCTCAAAGGGTCAACAAACCATCGTCATCAAAGGGTCAACAAACCATCGTTCTCAAAGGGTCAACAAACCATCGTTCTCAAAGGGTCAACAAACCATCGTTCATCAAAGGGTCAACAAACCATCGTTCTCAAAGGGTCAACAAACCATCGTTCTCAAAGGGTCAACAAACCATCGTTCTCAAAGGGTCAACAAACCATCGTTCTCAAAGGGTCAACAAACCATCGTTCTCAAAGGGTCAACAAACCATCGTTCTCAAAGGGTCAAACCAATCAAAGGGTCAACAAAACCATCGTCATCAAAGGGTCAACAAACCATCGTCATCAAAGGGTCAACAAACCATCGTTCTCAAAGGTCAACAAACCATCGTTCTCAAAGGGTCAACAAACCATCGTCCTCAAAGGTCAACAAACCATCGTCCTCAAAGGGTCAACAAAACCATCGTCATCAAAGGGTCAACAAACCATCGTTCTCAAAGGGTCAACAAAACCATCGTTCTCAAAGGGTCAACAAACCATCGTCATCAAAGGGTCAACAAACCATCGTTCTCAAAGGGTCAACAAACCATCGTCATCAAAAAGGGTCAACAAACCATCGTCATCAAAGGGTCAACAAACCATCGTTCTCAAAGGGTCAACAAACCATCGTTCTCAAAGGGTCAACAAACCATCGTCCTCAAAGGGTCAACAAACCATCGTCCTCAAAGGGTCAACAAACCATCGTTCTCAAAGGGTTACAACATGTTTCTCTATCTCACGTTAAGAAGAACATTAAATTTACGAGCCTTTGGAGAATTCTGACCCACATCTCGGGAGAAAAAAAAAAACTTGACTAATGGTGATTAATGATCTTAATATCCCGTACAAAAAAAATCCTTCAGTGGAGAATTAGGCACCTGAGCTTATTTCACTGGATGATTAAACACCGTAACACTAACTTAATCTAACCCTAATCTACCTTACCTAACTTTAATTTAACTTTACCAAACCTAACTTAATTTTACCTAGCATAACCTAACCTAACTTAACCTTACCTAGCATAACCTAACCTATCCTTACCTAACAACCTAATTTAACCATACCCAACATAATCTAACCATAACCTAACCTAACCCAACCCAGGTAGTTAGCATTAGGTGAAATAAACTGGGGCCACCTAAACGTCTAGTACCACGAAAATATATTAACGAAACGAATAATATATAACGTTAACAAAAATATACCATCTCTTACCTTGGTCTTAATTCTGAATATTTTGCTGTACTGTTTTTTAATCTTGATGTTGGGAAGACGTCGCCCCCCAAGACCTGGTGTAGGGGGGGTGTTGGCCGAGGTGGGGGAGGTTGGAGAGGGCGGCGGGGGGAGGTGTTGCTGGTCGGTGGTGGGCGAGGTGGGGTCTGGTGGTGAGGGAGGTACAGGGGTGGAGGGGCATGAAGGAGGTGAATCAAGAGCATCGTGAGTGGAACGTCTCTTATTGATGGGGGTGTCCTGTACCTCCACCTCCTCCACTTCTATCGTTTCCATCATGATCCACCACTATACTCACTCTCCACCACCACCACCTGTTGATAGCGCCCTCCTCCACTCAACCTCCACTCCACCTCTTGGACAGCAGGTTTCCACACCCACCACACTCCACACCTCCACTTCCCTTCCACTTGGCTGTAGGAGTCCACTAAGCCACCAACACTCACTGGCAAATCCACTTCACTAACACCACTCCACACCCTCACTAACACCACTCCACACCACTCCACACACAATTTCTATCTCAATATCTACTTCCCGTGTTATATATGTTATCACCTTGAGATCTGTACGAAGCACTTTCTCGGGACACTATTGTTACCGGGTAATATTTCTCACGTACCAGCCGCCAACACCACTACTTTTCTATGAGATCTTAGACGAAAAAAAAACACAATTAAAACATATTATGACTAAAAAAAAAAACGATATAAATATAATTACTTATCACCCAGTACACATTATCGTCTCGGTGGGTTACAAACGATTGCCTAAAGCATTAAAAATATAAAACTCCCTCTCTCAGAAAACGTCCATCAGTCAAGTCGGTTCAAATTCATCCCTCGCTTTAGTTATCTTCAGGGTTAATTTAAGTACTTGTCATTACTATAAAAGTAATATTTCCGTTAAAACTATCAACAGAAAGTAAACTATGTTGTAGGTATATATGAAACTCTCTATAGCGGACTACATATAATCCGGTAAATGGAGGTTTCACGTCTAACGAACCCTCGAAATAACGTACTTCCCCCATATAATCCGGTAAATGGAGGTTTCACGTCTAACGAACCCTCGAAATAACGTACTTTCCCCATATAATCCGGTAAATGAAGGTATAACATCAAACAAACAGTAGATATAACGGATTTTCATACCTACATAATCCGGTAAATGGAGGTTTCACATATAAAGAACCCTCGAAATAACGTACTTCCCCCATATAATCCGGTAAATGGAGGATTCACTAACTACACCCCTATACCAATAACAAACCCAACACTTAATGATACGAAGACCTGAGACGTGGACAATCCCCCAAGGAGAGACAACAGGACTCGCAGACAGGTTTGACCAAGGTTGTGAGTGGGAGGTTGTAGGTGGGTGGTTGTAAATGGTTAGTGGGAGGTTGTAGGTTGTGAGTGGGTGGTTGTAGGTGGGTGGTTGTAAATGGTTAGTGGGAGGTTGTAGGTGGGTGGTTGTAAATGGTTAGTGGGAGGTTGTAGGTTGTGAGTGGGTGGTTGTAGGTGGGTGGTTGTAAATGGTTAGTGGGAGGTTGTAGATGGGTGGTTGTAAATGGTTAGTGGGAGGTTGTAGGTTGAGTGGGTGGTTGTGGGTGGGTGGTTGTAAATGGTTAGTGGGAGGTTGTAGGTTGTAAGTGGGTGGGTTGTAAATGGTTAGTGGGAGGTTGTAGGTTGTGAGTGGGTGGTTGTAGGTGGGTGGTTGTAAATGGTTAGTGGAGGTTGTAGGTTGTAGGTGGGTGGTTGTAAATGGTTAGTGGGAGGTTGTAGGTTGTGAGTGGGTGGTTGTAGGTGGGTGGTTGTAAATGGTTAGTGGGAGGTTGTAGGTTGTAAGTGGGTGGTTGTAAATGGTTAGTGGGAGGTTGTAAGTTGTAAGTGGCTCGTGATGCCTACAACAGGATGAAGATGCTACAACAGGTAGAGGTTTCAACAGGTAGATATATCAACAGGCAGAGGTTTCAACAGGTAGAGGTTTCAACAGGTAGATATATCAACAGGTAGAGGTTTCAACAGGTAGAGGTATCAACAGGTAGAGGTTTCAACAGGTAGAGGTTTCAACAGGTAGAGGTTTCAACAGGTAGAGGTATCAACAGGTAGAGGTATCAACAGGTAGAGGTATCAACAGGTAGAGGTTTCAACAGGTAGAGGTATCAACAGGCAGAGGTAACAGGCAACAAGTAGAGGTTTCAACAGGTAGAGGTATCAACAGGTAGATATATCAACAAGTAGAGGTTTCAACAGGTAGAGGTATCAACAGGTAGAGGTATCAACAGGTAGAGGTATCAACAGGTAGAGGTTTCAACAGGTAGAGGTATCAACAGGTAGAGGTATCAACAGGTAGAGGTATCAACAGGAACCAGCCTATACAACAGGTAATGGTCGTTAAATTTCAGCAGTTGTAGTGGTTAAACATGGTAAAAACACTATGGCTTTCGATAACATACATGTTTGACCACCTGGTGACAACACACACACACACACACACACAGTATGCACTCATGGCGACATTACACACTTACAACGGCAGCTACACACAGCGACTAGGAACCCAACCACAATGACTAAAACGTTTGCTTGTGGTCAGTCAGAATCCGGTGAAGAAAGAACTTAACATAGATTTCCTTTGTCATCATTGCCACTATCATCATTGTCACTCACCATCATCGTCACTATCACCATCGTCACTATCACCACCAGTTCACCACACTTTAGAGACCGTGAGTCGTGCAAGGTTACGTTGCCATCAACTTACGGTAACACCTCATCCACTACCTCCATCAATCTACTTTCCTCAAGCTGTGTTTATCTTTAAGCTTTCTCTCAGACTGTGTTTACTTTTAAGCTTTCTCTCAGCCTGTGCTTAACCTTAACAAATTCTTCCCTTAAAACTGGAACCTCCATAAATACCAATTGTTTGCACTTAAGTTGTAAACAAACACACACACACACACACACACACACACACACACACGGGGTAACTACTACAGAAATAGGAGTCAGACACACACCACGTGGTCACAAACAAGAGTGCTATTCCAAACTGCTGTAAAATGTTGAAGGTAAGAATGTTCCCTTAATACCTAACATGTTTCTTCTAAATAAACCCCTGAGAGTGAATGACGCAATCAACATTCTTTACAACACCTGATGAATGTTTTAAAATGTTGGTTTGTTATTGTGGCCTTAAGTTATATGGTGATACACAAACGACACACACACACACACACACACACACGCACGCACACACACCCCTGTACCCTAATATATTAAAGCAACTATCAATTACATATTCACTCAACACCTTTTAAAACACATAGAGCCGCTCAGTCATGCACTTTATTCAACTTGCATGACGTGGTAACTCGCTAATACACCCCACTGATCATGACCTCCCATCTATGAGGTGAATTACTCAACTATTGCCTCTTGGTGTAGGTTAATGGCTGTCAAAATGGCCCAAGTGTTGAAATCATAACAAAGTGGAAACCATTTATTTCTTAATTGACATAAACAAAATGTATCACCGAACCATAGTTATTTTAGGTTGGATTGGGTTAGGTGAGGTCAGGTCAAGTCAGGTTGGATTGGGATGGGGTGGGGTGAGGTTAGTCCAGATCAAGTAATGTTAAGGTTGGATTGGGTTAGGTTAAGTCAGGGTAGATAAGGTCAGGTTGGATTGGGTTATGTATGGTTAAGATAAACTAAGGCATAGTTAAGTTACCCCCAAGTCACCTGCTTTCAAAACCTATACATGAATGGTATTTAGTGAAGTGTCCTTGGTATTTTCTAAACATTAGCCATTTTGTGTGTGTGTGTGTGTGTGTGTGTGTGAGCGAGAGAGGGGTGTGTGTGTGTGTTAAGCTAGAACCCGTCGTGGCGTGGCATACTCCCCAAGGCTTACTGGATCAGCGGGGGTAATGTACACTCTCCCCATCTCTTAATGATCCACAAGGCATTCCCCAAGGAGGTGTGTTGCCTCCTATAATAATTCAGTGTTATGTAAAGGCCTCATCATGGAGTCAATGTCACAAATGGTGTTTAAGACAAGGGTGTTTATTGTCCCTCTAGATTATGATATATTTAGCCAAGCCCCTGTGATGTTGACAGTAATTTATCATCCTACTGCCCTGAGTAATGTATCATCCGACAGCCCTGACGTAAATAAACCCAACTTAACTACATCTATTACACAATGTGGTTGGCACTTGAAGATCAAAATATACTTCAACCAAACCTAACCTAAACCAACCCAACCGAACCTAACCTAACCTACCCAAAACAAAACAAACCTAACCCTTACGACTGGGGGCTCATTGTGACGGGAATTAAAAATGTAAACAAGACTATCCCACCGGAATGACACAGATACGACGACGCAAGAATCATAACAGTACAGACACGGTTGAGCTAATCAGTGCTACCGGTCACTTCACCCCTTTAAACACGATGACATTTACAAGGACAATGGCAGTGTATTTAAAGGGGTTATAACTCACCATGCTCTCGGGGGTTAAGGTATGTCATATGTCCATTGGTGAGGAGGGGGGGGGAGGGGGAGGGTAGGGTAGGGAGCGGGTGGAAAAGCGAGGAAGAGGAGGAACCGAGGGAATAATGGAGGTGGTGGGGGAGAAGGAGGAGGAGTGGGAAGGGAGAAAAAGGAAGGAAGGAAAAGGAAGTGTGTGGAAGGAAGGAAGGAAGGAAGGAAGGAAGGAAGGAAGGAATTTATAAACCTTGTCAACTCCTGTAAAGAATTAGGACCTTGAATACCACTGCAGATCTCATCACGTCAACTTCGCCTCCAATTCATCTTCATCACGACAATAATCACACTTGCTTACACTTATCAACGTAATAAATGCACTTGTGTATGTGACAAGTCGAATTAATACACTGTAGTATACATGTAAATGCGTATACTTAAATGTATGTAGATATTTAATATACAGTTACTCAATAAACTATCTATACAAAATTGTGTTGATAAAATATGACACAACGGACGAAGGATTTTGACAACCCTACCGAGACAACAGGAGTCACAGTGTTCATTATGGGGTTCATCGATCACCCCGAGTACAGGTAGTTTATTGTGTGTGTGTGTGTGTGTGTGTGTGTGTGTGTGTGTACTTCCGCATGTGTGCATATACGTATAGAGACAAATACACCCTTTAAAAATGTCTGAAACCAAGGGGGAAAAACATATGGTATTTCCCAGGCTACTCACCCAGGCTAAAACACTGGCCCTCATCCCTGTGAAATTTAGAGGGATTTGAGGAGGTGACAATACAATGTTAACCTCTCTCTCTCTCTCACCATACTAACGGTTGCTAGGTCTCTTCCTCTCACCACCTATCCATTATGTTCACTGTATTAACACCATCACCAATCAATTCTCTTACACCATCACCAACCAATCCTTTTTCACCATCACACCAACACCACGTCCCTCACGCCCCGACTAACACCTCCCACGCCCCTCACTAACACCTCCCACGCCCCCACTAACCCACACCCCTCACTAACACACACCCCTCACGCCACCACTAACCCACACCTCCCACGCCCCCCACACCACCGGCTTAAGGCTAGGCAGAGAACATTCCACCCAAAACAACTTCCTGCATAGTTGCCAAAACCACCACTTGTTCTCCTCTCAGTGACGGCGCTTGCCTCCTCCAGTGATACCAAGGCCGTGCATACACCCTATTAATGTCCCCTCAACATACACGCACACATACATACATACACACACGCCAACACACATTCTTTAATACACCTCCACACTCATCCACATATATACACAATGAAGTATACATATAAGCTAATATGCCACACACACACACCCACCCACACACACACCCACCCACACACACACACACCCATGATAACAAAAACAAGCGACGTGTACACTCACCCAACTACATACACTCACATACACACATGATTACGCATACACACACGCCATTATGCAAACTACCACCAAAACACACATACTGTTACCGAATGGTGGGTGGGTGGGTGGGTGACTGTGGGTGGGTGGGTGGGTAGGTGAGTGTGAGTGGGTGGGTTGGTAGGTGAGAAGGTAGGTGTGGGTGGGTAGGGAGGTGGGTTCAAATGGGTGGGTGGGTGGGTGGGGTGGGAGGCGTATAATTGTATAAGTACCAGGTGACCACACTATATAGGGCTTCACCCACCCTACCACTCCCGGGATGCTGTTTCTACCCCACACACACACACACACACGTGGATGACTGCACTGTGGGGGTTACAGTGGACAACACCTCACCGGACTACTCATCGCTACAAGGCACCCTGGACAGGCTACAGGCATGGACTACGGAGAACAAGGTCACCATCAATCACACCAAAACCGTAGTCATGCACTTCAATACCGCCAGTTAGTGCAGTCTGCCAAACTGGACTGGAAGGCCCATGTAAACAACACAATCAAGGCAGCCTCGTACCGTCTCTACATGCTACGACGACTCAAGTCACCTGGGGCACCCACGCCAGAGCTGAAGACTATCTACAACGCCCTTATTCTCCCCAAACTAACGTATGCGTCACCAGCCTGGTCGTTTTCTCTCGACTCAACCCAACAACGTCAGCTAGACAAGGTACAGAAGAGAGCCTGCAGAATCATGCTCGGCGCAGACTACTCCGGCTACACCAACGCTCTCTCCACCCTGGAAATGCCTTCCCTCAGTGACCTTCACCACCAAGCACTAGCAGGATTTGGCAGTGGGCTACTGCACCATCCTCGTCTTCTCCACCTACTGCCACCGGCATTCCCCCGCCCACCTGCCCTGAGTAATGTATCATCCTATCATCCTACTGCCCATAAGAGCCCGCCCTGATAGATACAAGAACAGCACCATCCCATCTATTGTTAAAATAATAAACGCTCCTGATTCATGTACTGTACAGCCCTGTAAATGTATTGAATGTATATTATTATGCCTAAATCACATGTAAGTTTGTATATTTTCAGCCACCAGCTGCAATTCAATTAATAAACCGTTTATTATTATTATTATTATTAATAATATTAAACACACACACACACACACACACACACACGTAAATGATGAGCGTGATATCCACACCTCCCTCACATGACCGTCACCACAACATCACCAACAAGACGGCCAGAAGAAACACTCACACCACAACACATCACACCACGACACATCACACCACGACACATCACACCACGACACATCACACCACGACACATCACACCACAGCACATCACACCACAACCAAGACATTAACTCAAACTAACAGTCCCAAGCATCCGGACACAACTCAACGGAAACAGATAAGTATAGAATAAAAAACGGGAGACAATAATATGGTGAACTATGATAAAGAAGAAACTCTCTACAACTCTCCATCATTAGTTTCTGTATCGTTGGTATCTGGGTTTTTTTTATGTTTTAACTGAGTATTTTACCCAGGATTCCAACTTAGTATAACACGTAACAACACGAGAGGACAAACACACGCACTAACGTAATCATTATATCCACCCTCATGCCTATATGATGATGATGATGATGATGATGATGACGATGATAATAATAAACACTACCTATACAATAATTATTCTTACATACATATAAACAAAACACACACACACACACACACACACACACACACACACCCTATCCACACACCTTGCATATAAAAACATATACATACCCACACACACTCTACCCACACCACGGTACACCCTGCATATAAAGACACATACCCACCCACACCCACAAACACACCCAGAGTCACTAGCACACGCACCCACACAGAGCAATCAAGTTTGTTATCCCAGGAAGCACTTATTTCCGCCCATGTAAACACCACGACGGTGTCAGTCCAGAGCTTTGTCTTACACCCCGTTATAATGGAGGTAAACAATGTGCCTTCAAATACCTGTGAATGTAAACACCGTCTTCAATGGTGTAAACAGACTGACTTCAGACACCTCAGCAATATCTTCAATGGTGTAAACAGATTGCCTTTAAACACCTCAAAATGTAAATAGATTGTCTTTAAATACCCGAGAATGTAAACATTGCCTTCAATGATGTAAACAGAATACTTTTAAACACCTCATAATGTAAACAAAGCCTTCAAATTCCTCTGAAAGTAAATAAACAAATGTACACAAACAGATTTCAGAGATAAATGAATGTAAACAAAGCACTTCACACAGCTAATGACACTGCACACAGTAGGCTAACAGCTGGTGCAGCTGAGTGTAAACAGAGAAACAACGGATATCCTTCAATGTAAACACAAACAAACGGCACTAGTGAAATGAAAACGACTACTTCTGAGTACTCGTATAAAGAAGAAACAAACAAACAGCTCATACTGCTACATGTAAACAGAGAACTGACATAGTTAACTGTAAACAAACTAACGGCCAATATCACTGAATGTAAACAGTAATTTCATAGTTAATATCAATAAACACACTGGCTTCAAACTGTAAACAAGAGACTACTAAAGTTAAATGGAATGGCAAACAAACTGTCTTCAAAATGTAAACAAAATTCTCATAGTAAACACAGCAAAGACAAACAAACCATTCCAGCAACTCAGTGCCTTATCAGTGAAACTAAAACGACCGTCATTAAACCACCTGATAACAGATAAAAGAGAAAAACCTCGTTAAACCAACTCATTTTAAGAACGACCTCCACCTATAGTGAACAAATTTGGTGAGGTAATGATTTCTACTCGATACTGTAGAGAGAGAGAGAGAGAGAGAGAGAGAGAGAGAGAGAGAGAGAGAGAGAGAGAGAGGAGAGAGAGAGAGAGAAAGAGAGAGGCATGAGCGGACGGGTAAAAGGTGTAGGGTAGGGTGTGTGTGTGGGTAGGTGTAGGGTGTGTGTGTGTGGGTAGGTGTAGAGTGTGTGTGTGGGTAGGTGTGTGTGTGGGTAGGTGTGTCACTGCTGGTTAACATAACACGAGACAGCACAGGTAAAACAACACCCCTTCCCCTCCCCGGCCGACAACAGCTGATTAATCAAAACAAACAATATTCTTCCAAGAGCTAGTTACTTACCCTTGCATTCCATTACACGTCATCACTTACAAAACACCCCTTTAAAGTGTACACCCCCCTCCCCCACCCCAGGTCACTTAGTCAGACGTCAACAACCACTTATAACACAGATCCACCACTTAGAATCTACTTAAAATAATGTTCTAAAGTCGGGTTCTTCACGTGGGTATGACAAGGATTCGCGTGCCTGCAGGATGATCGCCACAGTTAGGTACAGATATGGTAATTGTAAATGTCCCGTGTAGCGGATAGCCAAGGAGCTGCGTGTGGGCCATGTATGCGTGTGGGCCATGTGTGCATTGTGGCCAAAACACCCCCAGACCGGATGATACTATGGCCCAGGTGCTGCCTCGCCTTCTCGTAAAATCAGGCCACGTTGTCAACTTAGTAAGGATTATCAGGGATCATTACACCGTTAGTTAATAAAATACCGCGACTCATTAGGGTAATTTTGATAGTGTTTGGTCTTATCTCCGGATGAAGGCTTTGTTCCCTGAGCCGACTGTGTTTGGAGCAAGTGTCACGTATTAATCAAGGATCTAGCCTATAGTCTTGATGGATGATCCGTGACACAGCAATGACATACGCACACCATAACATCATATATTACACCATAACACCATACCACAATACCACATCACCACCACTCTGCCAGCAGCTACAAGGGGGCGCTTCTGACATGAGGATACGAGATAACAACACTAACACACACACATACATAACACAGTATAACACCACCAGGTTCTGTAGATGTTAAATGTTGGCTCACGGGGCACCAGATAACACACCGTAACACCCAGAGCACTACACCACCAGCTGTTTGTAGGAGGCAGTGGTGGTGTTGGGTGAGTGCGGCACAAGGTAAGCAGCGTACAGCGGGAGGAGCAGAGGGCAGGACAACACTGATCCTGCCTGTCTGGGCTGCGGTGCTCCAGGTGACGATAACAACTTCTGGATTTTACCCCCGCGGACCTTCCCCCCCTCCTCCCTCGCTCCCTCCCTCACTGCGCAGGTCCCCACCACCTCCACTCGCTCACTCCTCCTACCTCGACTCTTCACCTCCTCCTACTCCTACCTCACCTCCTCCTCCTACTCCTACCTCACCTCCTCCTCCTACTCCTACCTCACCTCCTCCTCCTACTCCTACCTCACCTTAGCTCCCTCCTAACACACCTTCACTTCCTCACCTGATTACTAAATTTCCTTCACCTATTTCACCTCCGTCTCACTTCACCTAAGTCACCTCTTATTTCACTTCAGTCACCTCACACCTCTCACTTCACCTAAGTCACCTCACACCTCTTGCTTCACCTAAGTGAAGTATAACAATGGTGACGTCACAAGAGTGGGCGGGGCAGCATAACACTGGTGACGTCCAAAAGGTGGGCGGGGCAGCATAACACTGGTGACGTCACAGGAGTGGGCGGGGCAGCATAACACCGGTGACGTCAAAAACGTGGGCGGGGCAGCATAACACTAGTGACGTCACAAGAGTGAGCGGGGCAGCATAAAACTGGTGACGTCACAAGTGGGTAGGGCAGCATAATACTTAAGAAGTCACCTTGGCGAGGCAAAAGTAACGTCCTGGTGTCACTCAATGTGAGGAAAACGCGAGATAATAAGCTAAGGTGAGACCACGACTGAGTGAGGTATGATTCACGGCAAATTAAAAAGTGTTACGTTAGACAAACGGCTTCACCATCACCCCCAAGTGACCACAAAATACACACCTGCCCTCGACACGACCAGTAATAACAGTACACATGTTATACCGACAGGAATATTAAGTCGGGAACATTTACAAGTTGGGTTGAGAATTTTTGTTGAAAGTAAACGTTTGTGCTTCACGTCGGTACGGAAGCCGAGTGATGAAGGTGGTGACGGTGGACATACACAGTTACTACGGCACTTGTACTGTGACCAACTTGCACCAGGGAAAGTCATCACCACGGTCCACTAACATACATTGAGCGGTGAGGGAGGGAGGCCGCCAGCCACCAGGGTAACCTGGTCCGGCCAACACTACCACCGTCACTTCCCCGCCGGTCACTACACAGCTACATCCTCGAGCAGTAAACACCAGAGTTAGAGAGGCGGCACCTTAGCTCCAGCCTGGTCCAGCCGTGACTGTGCGCACCACATAACTTCCAGCTGACCCCGAGTTGACGCACATTTGAGGGTCACCACCACCACCACCGCTGCCCCGCTGGAATCCTTAAGCCATCGCTCACACGTTATCACCCACGCCGTCTCCTCCCACCACCCACCACACCACCTCACCCACACACCTGTTGACACCTCCACCACACCCACCAACACTACACCACGTCCCTACACCAGTCCAGAACAAACCACGGCTCCAATACCAGCCAGGTAGCCACACTTAAGGGTCTGGATTATGAGTGAAATGAAGTGAGGGAGTCCGATATCCAGCGGCACACACAGCCACAAGCTCTCGCTCTGGTAACAGGCTAAACCAGTAAGGCTTCCCCCAAGACCCTCTCCTGGGCATAAAAGGAAACTCGGCTCTCCACTGCATCCCGACACACACACTGACGTTTCATCACTACACCCATCACCACCATAACACCGCTATAACACCACACAGGTATCAATATTCACCACACACCCACAGGTATTTTGTGTCAGGTGTGTGGTGCTAGGGCGGTGTGTTTCGTACAAATACCTGCAGACCTGAACCATGTTAAGTCCCTCCCACCACCACCACACAATCCTTTCACTACCCACACACCTTGTCCTCGACCCACACACACTCCTATCCTCACAAGTCTACATAAACGCCCCCTCTATCCTTACACAATCTTTTAACTTCCCTTCTCTCTACGCACACGTCCGTCCATCACCTACCCACACACCTATCCTCACCTACCCACACACACACCTATTCTCCCCTACCCACACACACCCTCATCCTCCCCTACCCACACACACACACACCCATCCTCCCCTACCCACACCCCCATCCTACCCACACACACCCATCCTCCCCTACCCACACCCATCCTCCCATACCCACACCATCTCCCTCCACACACCCATCTCCCCTGCCCTTTTATCCTCCCCTCCCACACAACCATCCTCTACCCATATCTTTCCTTTGACATTTACAGTATTGCTTCACACATCTCTCTCTGTATATCTACCGCCCTCCACCCCCCTCCTTCAAGATGACAGAGATAAAAACACTGTAGCCTAGCACTATCTACCCCCAAGAGGACTATGTATTGTACTGTTATCCCGAGGTAATGGCATGACGGTCGAAAGTCAGTTGGCCTCTCGTTATATTTTGTCTTGTGTGCCAGTGACGAAGTAAAATAAGAATCACTTGAGAATTATCCCCCCACTCCAGTTTAATTTATCTGGTGATTAAAACACCTTGATACTTTTGTAACCTAATCCAGTCTTATCTAACTAAACCTAATTTTAGCCTTACGTAGTCTAATCTTTGCTTAACCTAATCTAGTCAAGTCCAGTCTAATCTAACTTAACCTACCCTAGTCTAATCTTTGCTTAACCTAATCTAGTCCAGTCTAATCTAACTTAACCTACCCTAGTCTAATCTAACTTAACCTAACATTGATAAAAACCTAACCTAACCCCATCAGGTAGCATTAGGGTGTCTAATTACCAGGTGAAATAAACTCGGGTGCCCAATCTTCAGGTGTCCCGTAAACCAACAACCTGACGCCTGACCTCCACAGAAAATTAATGACCTTGTTAGTAAGATGTCGTTTATTCTCACGAGCATTAAAGCCTCTAAGATACACAACAATATCTTATCTAATCTCCAGGTTAACACAGCACATATCACCCTCCTCCTTGGCTTCACCTATCTAAATATACAGGTAAGTTAATCTAAACACAGGTGTATGTCTTAATGAATCTAATTATACATGTACAATAAATCCAAGTAAATTTATATGGTACAGTCACTCAAAAAATTTTCTATACAAAAATGTGTTGAAAAATTACACAACGGACGAAGGATTTTGACAACCCTACCGAGACAACAGGAGTCACAGTGTTCATTATGGGGTTTATCGATCACCCCGAGTACAGATAGTTTATTGAAGTGACTGTACATTCAAGTCTGTGGGTTTCATTTTGACTGGGGGGGTCACTTGAGCACTAACAAAACTGTGGGTACTGAAGGCTAGAGACAGGAGAGAGAGCTGGGGTATAAGGAGACCAGAGACATGCCGCCAAAACACTGGGAAGAGGTGGTCAGTTCATCACATCTTTGGGGAATAATGAGTCTTCCTGTGAAATGTAACTGCTTCAAAATGACTGGTTAAGATTGGGTCATTATCTGTGGTAAATTAATGGATACAAGATATAGTCCTCGCACGGAGAAACATCCATCAGTCAGGTTAGGACGCTGGACTGATTAAAAAAAAAAAAAAAAACACTAAACCAAAGGATCTAGTTTTGGTTTTTAAAAGTAGATTTAGGCAACAAGTTTAGTAAATACACAAACCTAACTACAAGTACATATACCCTCACGATCGTAACAAGGCAATTCTCCTCATTCCACAGAGATTAGACAAGAGTAATGATCAAATGTGTTCCCCGCGCCAAAGACTGAAGCTGATTTGAAATGATTGAGGTTACTTGACATCGAAAAAAATAATGGCTGGGCACTCCACTCGGTGTTAGTCCAAGGTATAAATAAGTTGGCATAGGCAGAGGTTCAGCAGATTGGAATTGTAACATAAGTCTGTGGCGTCCTGTACAGAAGAGGAAGCTATGGTAAAATCCCTGGAAATATACAATGGTAAATTCTTTCTGGTAAGGTCATTATTGTTGACGATTCCTGTGGTGGCTTCTTCCTACACCGTAACGAGGTGAAGTGACCTAACACCACACCCAACCCATACTGCCCCTCACACACACACACACACCTATCAAGTACTACAGTTTCCACCACAACGAGTAGGACACTGTCAGCGCTACACCCACTTCAGCCGCACCAAGCCTGGCTAATAAGCAAGTATCCACCCAACACTGAAACTCGCTCTGGCCATGAAGGTCTCAGCGAGAACCAAGGTCACTTACTTCAGCTCTCAAGTGTAAACCTCCTCATCTCACCTCGTCTACCCTAACAGCGTTCATAACATTACGGCAAATATAAATAACAACAGCAACAACGTAATAATAACAGTAAACCTTAATAATAATAATAATAATAATAACAACAATAATATTATAAATACTACTAATAATAATAAACATAAAAATACTCACGGTACATGGATATTGGGACCACCTGAGTTTAGCCACTCGGTTTTCGTCGACGATTCGACACCCTAACTACACTGGAAGTCAGGTCAGGTTAGATAATGTAAACAGTGTAAACAAATAAACAAAAAATAAGTAACAAGTTCAAATAAACAATAAGTAGTCTACATCACATCAAACAAGACTTTAATAACAAATAAACACGTAAACAAAAACAGAATATATATATGAATCACATTTACCGGATATATCGACAAACAAACAAACACCGGACACACACACACACACTGACTATAAACATTCAGAGTTATCAATAAAAATAAAACGATCTGACACTACCAATAACACCTCCACCCCCTGTATGTGCATCATCTTATGGGCCCTCGATCCTATACCATAAGAGTTCGGGCCCAATAAGGATTCTAATGGGCCCTCGATCCTAAACCGAGATGGTTAGGGCCCAATAAGGATTCTAATGGGCCCTCGATCCTATACCATGAGTTAGGGCCCAATAAGGATTCTAATGGGCCCTCGATCCTATACCATGAGGGTTAGGGCCCATAAAGGATTCTAATGGGCCCTCGATCCTATACCATGAGAGTTAGGGCCCAATGAGGATCCTAATGGGCCCTCGTTCTAATAGGTCCAGTC